AATTTATATATTTAGATACTTCTAAATATTTAAATTATTTTAAATTTATAATAAATAATTTATATTGAAGTACAAAATATTTTTATTTTTTGATAATTTATTTTTAAATATTAAAATTTAATTTATAAATAATTATAATAAATAAAAATTGAATGAATAAAAAATTAAAAAAATCTTTAAAAATCTTCTCATTGAAAACAATTCTTAAAATTATTTTCACACAAGATAATAATTCGTGTTTAATAAATAAGGAGTTTACATCCAAGTACACCCCATTGGGATGGAGGGAGGGGAGAGATAGGGAGAAAAATTAATAATAAAAAAAGAGATACATGTGTAATGTAATACGTGATATAATAAAAAAATATAGAAAGAAAAAAATGAGATGGAAGTGAATTGTAGAGTAAAATCTGATAAAAATTTAAGGGAGTATATTTAATTGAAATATCATAAGTTTGTTTTAGCACAAAAATGTCTGATAAATTTTTAAAAAACTTTGAAAAATTTAATAACTTTATAAGGATATAATTTTTTTTAAAAGACTTTTCTAATCAAGATTTTGTAATATGAATTTTAATGAATTTGTATTTTAAGATTTGAAAGGATTTTATTAGATTTTAAAGGACAATATGAATTTTTAAAAAATAATACAATTAATAAAGAAAACATAAATGAAAATAATCAAATTTAAATAAAGAAAATAAAGTTAATAAATTTTTTAATCTTTTAATAAATAATTGATTCTAACTTCATATCCTTTAAAATAAAAATTTTCCATATACAAACCTTTATGTATTTATATTTTTTCATTTATATTATTGAATTGGAATAATATATTCAAATTTATTATATTCATTAGTTAGTAGAATTATTAAAATATATTTTTAATATATTTAAAATTTTGATATTTTAATATTAAATTTTATGGAATAATATGCTCAGTATTCATTACTCAATGATTAATAGCGGAGGAATATCATTTTGCAATTTTTTCCCAAAAGAATCATTAAAAACTTTAGACTCAAATAAGTTAATCAAAAAACATTTCTGTTCGGACGAAGTTGAAGCCAAACTAACTTTAAATCAAAAGATATATTATTCAGAGAATTTTTGAAATCATGTCATCATCTCCACAAAAATAATCCATTGTCCATCATTCACTTAATCTTCCGCTTTGGAACATCTACTACTGAACCACATCTAGATTTTGTTTTTGTCATCATATATAGATCTAAAGTGCCCTTAAATCACATTTTGTTGGGGCCAAAAGTCTCTATACACTTGCTGTAAATCCAAGAATTATTGAACCACATAGGAAAGAATATATACCACAATTTCTTAGGTGTCAATTCACAAAACCCTTATGCGGTTATGATGAGTAAGAACAAAAACACCCTATCCCATTATGCCTTACATCATGGACCTTTGTCGTGCCTCACCTTAGCTACTAATAATATCATTGCATTTTGCAACTAAACACACGGAAGCATTGGAATACAAAGTCATAAACCCTTTGAGGCAATGCTAATTAATTATCATTTATATGGCAAATTGCTAACAATCTATGGTGCACCGATACGATACGCGTATCGGATACGACACGTATCCGATACGGCGATACGATTATTTAAAAATATATAAGATACAATATTTATAAGATACGTGTCATCATATATATTAATGTTCATATAATATAATAAATGTGTACTTGTAATTTTGATCAAAATTTGTAAATATTAAATATATAATTGTTATTTTGCAAATCTAAATTAAAAACATACTTATTGTACACTATTAAAAGTAAATAAATTTTAAATCATTTCATCATAAATTTTTTATTATTGTTTACAAATAGAAATAATATTATCAATTTCATTTCTTTCTTAAAATTATCTATATAGAAGATAATTTTCATTTACAGTTCATCAAGAACCAATAATTCTATGTTTCTATATTAAACATGTTTATATATCTTATTTAGCTGTAATGGATATTTTATAATTTTTCAAAAATTTGAACACTTTATTGATATTATCACTAATAAGTATCAGTGAAGTATCTGAAAGTATCAAAATTGAATAAAACTTTTATAATATTTTTAAAGACTAGGATATTTCATTGACACGTATTGGTGAAGTATCCAAGAATATCGTGTCGGATACGTATCGGATACGGATACGTGAAACAAATTGAAAGCCAAAGTGTCCAAAGGCATGCAACTGAAAACAACTAACATGCAACTAACTGATGAAACTATGTAATATGTATAATATAATTGATTATATCCACGAGACCATGGATTTGTCGATGAACACTATTTGTTTTGATTTTGAGCGAAGCAATGGTTGTTGTCTTCCTTGCGCGATTATTGACGATCATCCCCATCCACGTTGTTTTTGTTAGGCTGGATATTTTGTGTACCACGTTAGAAAACAAACAGTGTCGATCTTTTCTAAATTTGATAACTATTTAACCTGAAAGTTGGACGCACGAAACAGCCAATTTTTGGCTTTTTATATATAGTTGAAGAAGACGGTTTATAGTGTCCCTAATTCAAAACCTCTTTTACCCTTTTTTTCCTTCCAAATTAACTTTTTCTGTGACACCGAGAACTACGTATTTATCATCTTTCGAAGAATCCCGTTTGGATCCGTAATAGCGTGCAGCCCCATAGGCCACAGATATTGAAATTAAAGAGAGGACCAAGACATATCAATACGATCAGAAAGCGAAACTTAACCTAACAAAGACGCTACATGGCAAAAGTAACCTGACAAGAACCCTGCCACTATTTACGATTAAGGCATGGAGATACTTGCTAAAT